CCCACGAATCATGGCTTTCGCAACTGGACACGGAGTTGGAATCCTTTGCCAACTACGTGCAACTCTCGCCGTCGGAACAAGCCGCCCGACATTTCATTGTCGATAGTATTGAAACCGTCTCTCGCACCAATCTAGACTGTGCCAAGGAGAAGAAATCTGCCGATGAAATCAGAGTCCACGTCTTTGGTTCCTTTGCCACACTCCCCGTCTGTGCCTATTGCAGTGATGTCGATCTGGCGATTTACGGACTCGTTCCACCGGAACAACCACCACACGACAGTTCTGCGCAAGCCAAGCACACGCGGTTTTCAGAGACCGACAACCACCAAATGGCTGCGCGAGTCAAAAAGTGGAAGGATCTTCTGGAACAGCAACAACAACAACACTGCGACGAAGAAGAAAAGGACGACGCCTGGCAATCGGCACTCGATCAATTGCTCGATGGCGCCAATGAAGGACCCGACACTCCCAGCAAGAAGAAACGGTCTGCCGATCGGGTCGTCGATCTCACACGCTGTGCGTCACCGCAACAAGATACCAAACCAGCCGCCAAAAAGGAACCCGAAATTATCAAAGTCGATGCTCTTCCATCCACAAAGTCTCCAGACAACCAGGAAACGACCAAAAAGAGCCCCGTCCGAATGGTTTCGGTGGATGAACTCGAAAAACAACCCGCTGTCCAAAAAGAAGAAACTGCCAAAGAAGAAGAAGCGTCGGAGGATGCTCTCGCGGGGGACTTTTTCGTTCTGGATCGAGTTGGTATCGATGAAGAAGAGGAAGAAAAGAAATGGAAGGCCAAGGAAATCAATCAGAATGCAGAAGTCGAAGTTGCCGACAACAAGGCAGACGACAATGTAGTTGGCAGCAAAGTCAACAGTAAAGACGACGAGAAACAAGGGAATCTGAAGGAAGCACCGACTGAGGAAACAGACGCTACAACAACAAATCGAAAGCGAACATTTTCAGAAGCAACCAACGAAACCAACAACAATTCTGGCAGTGACAGTGAAGACGATACTGCCGACAAATTGGCATCGCTCGAGACACGAAAGCATACTAGTAGTAGTCCAGCAGCAAATGCCAAACGCCCAGCGGAGGAATATCGAACCGAGCAGGCTGTCATTAGCCTTTCGTCCGATGACGAAGACGACGACGATGAAGAAGATGATGACTTGGATGACATGCAAGTTTCCTTTGTCGCTCACCCTACTAATAATGGCAAAAACACGACGATTGGGCCGTCGGGAGCTGTTCGAGCCGAAGTGGTCAATGTGCTGAACAGCCTCGGGAATATATTGCGACGTCGACAATTCACAACGTCTGTGACGGTCATTCGCAAAGCACGAGTGCCAATTGTCAAATTCCAAACCAAATTGGGTTTTGAAGGAGATGTCGCCATGGGAGGACACAATGGAACCGATACCAGTCAGTTTGCCATGTCGCAAGTGCAGCGGTTCAAAAGGTGGGTTGTACTGTAGTACCAAACAAACAGGTCGAAACTGTAGGAAAAAAGTGTGCTGCGTGATTGAATACGGCGGCGTCACTCCGATCATCATTCGATTCTCACCATGATCCTTTATATTTGAATCGGTATGCAGTTTTGCAACGGTTGTCATGGCGTTGAAGATCATGTTGTGGCAGCAGGGTCTCGACATACCATTCCACGGAGGATTGGGAAGCTACAAACTCTATGTCTTGGTGGCGCATCACGTGAGTTTGCTATCTATCGTTTTACATTGTTCGATTTGATCTTGAACGATATTCCATGACCGACATTCCACTAATCCTTGCCTCATACCTGGGTTAAATGCGGTAGTTGGAGAATCACTTGGAGCTAGGAGGAGCCGATCGACCAGGCGAAGTCTTCTTGAGCTTTCTGCATCGATATGGACAAGTCAAACGGGGCATTGGAGTATTGGATAATTGCCACCGTCGAGCACGCACCTTTTTGACTCAAAACGCTGTACTAGAATGCTGTGAGGGTGGCTACGCAGCTGACATGTCGGCCACATATCTGCTCCGACATTGCATCGACCTCTTTCGGCGGTGTTTCATGCAAGTGGGACAAGAAAATGTCTACACTAAAGCGCCAAAGAAGGGCAGCAGCATTTTGAAATCACTCTACGACATTGACACTCTCACGGCGGAACGATCTGATAGCATGGAAAAGGCAGCAATGTTGGACGTCTTTCAAAAGGGGCAAAAGAAGGATGGACAGCAAAGTCGTCATCCGCAACAACAATCTCAGCGCCAAAATAGCAATGGTGGAGGCGGTTCAAGATCCGAGCCAAAATCGAAACGAAGTAAGGCATAGAGTCTGGACAATTCTGTCATTCAGAAGAGCATAACTACAATCTACTAAACGTTGCAAGATTTCAAGAGAAGTTTGAAGTTTCGTTTTTACTTCTGGAGATATGCGGAATAAAATAGCTACGCACTGCTATTGAGCTTGCTGAAATGACATAGATCTGCATGAACCGAACAGACCCGCACAGCCGTCAGCAGTGTTCCAAAGGGTTTGAGTACGACTGTACGACCGGTATCCTTTGTGGGTGGAAATTGAAATTTTCAAAGTGCGGTACTGTACTGGTACGAGCTCACCTGAAAACCTCAAGAGAAGATTTCGAAGTTTGCCATGACGGGCAAGCACCGATGAAGCTTCAAAATTCTTGTCGCTGTGCTTGGAAAAGTTTAGCGCCTTGGTTTACGCTGACCTGCCCAAGCGAAACTGATCAAGTTTTTTGCTCTTCAAGACCCCTGAGGCAACGCGACAATGAGGACAAAGATCTTTAATTTCAAGGACCGTCCAGCCCTGAAGATCCAATCTGATTCTGACTGCGCTCAGCTCTACGACCACTTCTACTCCACTGTAGAAGACGATGTGCGTTCTCACTTTGGAAGTTGCAAAGATGAGTTGAGTTCCGTCGTGGCAAGTCTGAAGCACTTGAAGGAGTCAGTCGGCGTCACATGGATGGCTCCCTATGGATGTGCAATAATGGTGAAAAACCTCGATGTTCTCTCGACAAAGATATCCGTCGTTGGCCTCGACAAATGGGAGGGTATGATTCATTCCTCTGTGAGTGGACGAGAAGCCACAGCAATCCCGGATGTTGTCCGCCCTTGTATCCTTGAAATTGGACCTGTGAAGAATGAGTCATGTCCCGCTGTCATGGGAATCTTTCTGCGATTGATGCAAAGTGCGCAATCCACGGCTACAAGGGAGAAGCATCACAAGACTCCCTCGTTTGTGTGGGCAAGACTCCTTGATGCCATGGTGGAGGCAAAGGCTTTACCCAAGAGCACTGTAAACGCCATCATAGAGAGCTACCAGGGAGGAATGACAGATGTTGGCAGGCACACGTCATGCCTGGAAAGAAACACCTCGTTTCCTTTGGTTGCGTCTGTTTACTCCTCCATGCTGTATCTCTACGAACTTGATGAGGACCATGACTCGTTTCGCAAGATGCTTTGTGTGTATTTTCTACGCCATCTAAGGTATTTAGACGTGGGAATCGTCGACTCTTTGTTGCCTGTTGAAACTTGTTGTGACTTACGGTTGAATCTTCTGAACAAACAGGAACATTCGTGGCAACGTCACAACTTTTGATCAACGAAAGATCGACCGAGGCATCGTGGTGATTCGCGAGGTTGAACGTTACATTGTCAAAGTCAAGTGCAAGCGTTTCCAGGAGCGAGTGATTGAAGAGCTAGAAGAGCATCATCACGCGTTGAAAGCGCTAAGCCCGGTTCTTGACCCAACGATGTGCACGACGCCCCAGGACTTTTCGATTGAAATCATTCAGGATCCAAGCGCAGCCGTAAAGCCCCCTTCGCTGCCGAAGGTGTCTATTCGGACAACTTACACCGATTATGGCACTCGGATGGCAAGAGCTCAAGCTCAAGCAAAGACGAATCTTCAGTGGTCCGACCTGATGGTCACTCGCTTTGTTGGAAAGACCGGTACACAGGATGATTTGGTTGCTCTTGGCCGCATCAATAAGGAATTTTGGTGCTACGCAGGAGATCTCTTGGACCCATGGAAATCTCATGACGTACATGACTTGAAAGGCAAAATGGAAACACATATGCAAGCGACGTCGCTAGCTTTGCAAAAGTCCAAGGGCTGCGTAAGTCTGATGACCGTGGAGCTACGAAGCTGCCAGGTGCTGGTGATTTGGATAACCTACTGCTGGGCACATCGAATCGCGAAGGAGAGGTATCCCGTTTTCAGCGGCTACTCAGCGATTTTTGATCCTGATGATCTCGGCTACTTGGTTCTGCAAGAGGCGGATGCAATCGATGCGTTGAAGAACGTAAAGTCTTTCCTGACGCTGCACAGGCTGTCGGCAAAGGTCCCCTTCTGCAATCCAAGTGACACGCTGGACCTCGCTTTGTCAATGGGAAATGCTTCGAACGATTGGGGAGCCCGCGTCAGGTCCATACATGATGCTGAATTCTGTGCCGCCGAGCGCAGAATCGAAGAGAGGTGGGAAAAAATCCAAAAGACCCAAGCAGAACTTGGTGTCCTTGATAGCCAACTGAAGAAAGCAGAGAGCACACTGAGGTCTGCAGAAGCAGCTCTGAGTACGTCGCGAAGCCGAGACTACACAACGAGTATCTACGGGAGGATTTTTTATACATCTACCTACCACCAGTACGAATGTGCTCGTAACGAGGCTATTCGTCTTGTCGACGACCTGAAGGGAAAGGTTAGACGCCTTGAAGCAAGGCCGCCAGATGTTTTCTTCGCTTTGCCAAAGACTAAGCAGAAGGCGTTGCAATGGTTGTTCATGCTGTTCATGCCTTCCGAGTTTGTTGATGTCCTGTCGTTGGCTCACCTTGCTGCAACTCAAATGTGGAACAGAACTCCGCCGACACCGGCGTTGCCAACTCAGATCTTGAGCAATTGGTTCATTGCGTACAAAACGACCAGTGACAACCCTGTCTCATTGGATGGAAAGATGGTTCTCGGCAGCACAACCCGGGCATTTAGATCCCCCGTGGATGGTGTCGCCATTCGTCGTTACGACAGAGAAACGGGGGTGCGATATCCAGATTCATACATTTTGGTTCCCGCTTGGTGCACAACTGATCCTTTTGCTCCTACCCGAAGCCACCAGGATACCGCCCGGTATTTCACCGAGAGCCTGCCACCAAAAAAATCGGCCGCTCAGAGCTTCCTCGTGATGCTGCCAAGCCGAACACGAGGCAATGAAGGAATTGCGACGAAGAACAAAAAGCCTGATTGGCTCAACTACGAAGAGTACCAAATGTTTGCAGCAATGAGAGCATACCCCCGCCTACAAATGCGCCAGCTGCTGATTGCGATGGTTGATGATCTGTTGCCGTTTGGCGATGATGGTGTCCAGGTATTGGTGAGACAACTCCTCTACCATGTTGGAGACAATTGCTGGAAGCAAGATTTGGATTCTGCGTTCTATGGTCAAATTGCGAGCGAGCTTGTTCGGAAGGCGGATCTACTGAAAGAATCACCGAACAACATTGGCAAGCTTCTCTTTTTCGGATTTGTGGGTGCTTTCTTTGGACAATACAGCGACAGCTGCATTGAGTGTTCGAGGCTGTACATGTCCGTTTCAAGAAAACTGGGCGACGCTGTGGACGCGCAAATCTTCCTGGCGGAGAAGATCATACCGAAGCTTTATTGGAAGCAAGCCCAGTTGTATGGATGTGCCTTGCTCTCTCATTGTCCGAGGGACAATGACAAGGGAACCTTGTTGCAACTGGTTGAGTTGATTGTTCTGTTCCAATACAAATCACTCTTTGCTGCTGAAGATCGGCATGCTAGTCAACTCCAACATGCCTTGCACTATGCAATGTCTGGAAACATCGATGCTATTCTCAAGGCCGTCACAGCTAACTTGGATTGCCTTACTAGGTGCCTTCGACTCGTCATCGATGATTTGCCGGACCGGCTCACATGGACAAGGATTTGCTACCCTGACGTTGCAAGCACTGCTTGCTTCGAAGCGCAAGCGGGGCATCACTATTCTGTTAATGTTCTCAATGGTATTGTCTTGGTTGATGGGGTCCCCCCTGGTTTCCTTCCAGCGACCATTGTGGCCAATTCGCTCTATCAGAGGACTTTTGGCTCAAGAAACTTTGAATGTATTGTGGTTGATGTAGACCATTTCAGAACCAGCAGGCTGATTGACGACTGTTTCCTCTATGAGTTTGTCTGGCAAGAAAATCACTTGGACATCATTGAGTACGACACCCGCGATGACGTTGGATCAGAGCCAAAGTCATCGGCTCTCTTGTCGAAGTGTGTTGTTGCGATTTCCGCTGCGGCAAGACAAGGTCAGAATTGGGGACCCCCACAAGCATCTACCGGTAACAACCCTTCAACTCAGCTTTTGCGTGATGGGCTCGTGCTGGTACCCCGTGAAAAATTTGATATCCCGGTTTTGTTGTCAAAGCCATACAGTCATTGGTATTCAAGGCGATATGATGCATTTGTGATTCGGTCTCCGTCCTACAAGGAACGTTCTATTTTGTTTGTGATTACCAATGAAGCCTTGTATTGCGTCCCCACAGAAGACATGGCTGCTTCACTCGACTCGATCATTCGCAAGCTTCAGATCTACGATCGCCTTCTATTTCGAAAGCCCAAGATAATCGAAGTTCTATCGAGAGTCGAATTTTCCAAGTTCATCCTACCCTGGCTTGATTCAAGTTTGAAGAGCATTCGGTACGAAATGCGTCGTCTGGGTTTACATTTTCTAGAGAAAGAGGGCGCCGTGGATTCCGTCAATTTCTGTGGATTTTCTCTCATGCAAAACCAGACATTGGAAGGAACCTTGATGGGTGTGACGAGCTACCTTGTCCTCTCGGATGTGCTCGGCAATGAAAAGGTTTTGATTCCTGCTGGGTTGATTGCAAACGGCGGAAACGTCATAGGAAGGAGCGCATGGAACTACAAAGGCAGCTTTCACGCTTACGACGTGCACTCCCGTTTTCGCCATTTGATCGCGATGGACAGTTTGGGATGGTTGCAGCTGGCATGTATGTGTGCTGCGTCAGGTTGCTTAATTGCTGAGGAGCGTTCAATGAAAACCGGCTACGAGATGGCTATTGGGCTTGCCCGCCACAGCTGGACCAACCACGAGTTATCACAAGCTGAAACGGCGAAGCTTCAAGAAGTTTCAAAGTTCAGCAATCTTTCATGCACGTTGCGTCTCATGTGCTCTTGGATTTGGAACTGCTCAAACCGACTAGGATTGCTTCGCGAGGAAGCTTCCGCGGATGCTGCAGCCGGGGATGTTGCTCCTTTGGGGCTAGAAGTGGACCCTCTGGCAGTACGGGAGTACCGCGAGAGTCCGCACGCACCAAGACTGTTGCCAACTGAAGAGTGCTTCCTCCTCGGAACGAAACAAGCTCTTGAATACCCTCCAACATGGAATTCGCTGGCAGAAAACGAAACCCATCATTTTGTGGCAGAAAAGGAAGCTCTTTTAGCGGCAACTTGCCTAGCGCCGCAAAGGAGTAAGTCAGAGAGAGCACCTTTCCCGCTTGCCATTCCTGACGGTGATTCGGGAGTGGAACGAGAATTTTACGAGGGCCTAAAGTCGAGTTGGGATGACCACTGCTCTGTCCCCAGATTTGAAGCTCGCCGCAAGCCAACGATGTGGAGAGAGACCTTAGACGATGTGAGGACCGCAAGGCAGTCGAAAGAAGGGATGATTCTGGAGACGTTAAGGAAGCACGAGTCAAAGGAGTTTCGAGTTGCAGTGCTTTCTGGCTGTATCAGACTCGCTGGTCCCTATGATTTTCTTCGCCTTGTCCTTGATGCCAATTCGGTCGCTGAAGTTAACCCAGTTCTCTCAGCTGAAACGCGTGCAGAAATGAGGACTCAGATAGTTGAGTGGATGATGCTTTGTGTGCTGGAAGACAAACTCTACCGAATCATCAACTCGTCTTCTGACAACGATATTTTGGAAGAGCTGCGCGCAATCAGGAATTGGAATCCATGGGATCATCTGCCTTGGCTAGTTTTCGAGGTGGAGCAACGATTGCAAATTCGCCAGTACCAGTATGATGTTGTAAAACGTCTGACGGACAACCCACACACCACCATTCAGTTGAATATGGGGCTTGGCAAAACGGTAAGTGCTTTGTTTCGTACCAGATGAATCCCTAGGCTCAAATGTGCCGGAATTGACCATCTCTTCATCCAGAGCGTTCTAGTCCCCATGCTCATTCTTGAATATGTAAACTCCGGAGAATGCGTCGTTCGCATCAACATGCTTCCTTCCCTGGTGACTGTCGTCGAACAGATATACAAACGCAGCTTGACTGCATCAGCGCAGCATGTACGAATAATGACTTTTCCCTTTCAGCGGACTTTTCCGCTAGCAGAAGTTCACTCCAAGCTGCTGTCTGAGGAAATAACGCGATGCAAAGTTGGGAGGGGTTGCCTGCTTGTCACTGCGCAGCATCGAAACTCCCTTTTGCTGAAACAGCATGACAGCGGCATGTTTGTGGAGGGCTTACGAGAGGAGTCGCTTGACGTCATTGATGAATCCGATGCAATCCTTCACCAGTCTTTTCAGCTTGTTTATGCACTCGGCGAACAAGAGCCTCTGCCTGATGGGCATGCTCGCTGGAGCATGGCTGAGGCTTTCCTCCAGATTCTCTCTGAAAGCACATGCCCATATATAGCTTCGGTCAGAGACGACCCGTCTCTGGTTCATTCAGAAGGCCCTGGACATGGTGCCTTTCGTGGACTCAGGCTTCTTCCGGCAGTTAAGGAGCACCAACAAAGCTTGGGAAGAGCCCTCTGCAAAGAGCTTGTCAAAAGCCCTCCTCACGAGTTCCTTTGGATGAAAAGCGTGCCCGTCGCTGAGCTGGAGCCGCTCATTGACATCATGTCCAATGATCAGTGCCCGGCAAAGGATTTAATCGAAGCCGACCTACATCTTTTGAAACACAAAGCTGATATTCTTGCCGCAAGAGGCTCCATTGCCTTCGGTTTGCTCTTTCACTGCTTAAAGGCACGTCACAGAGTGCACTATGGCACGGAGACTTCAAGAGGGAAGCTGGCGGTTCCATTCTCTGCAAGTGACACTCCAAAAGCCCGTTCCGACTACAGTCACCCTGACGTGCAGATTATCTACACATGTCTCTCGTACTTTCACCGTGGACTCACAAGGGAACAGTTGAGAGAGGCATTGATTTGTCTGCAAGAGCTGGGCCCAACAGCTCAGGACACCATCTACAGCTCATGGATCAATAGTATCCGTGGTGGTTCGGTGAACCGTAACGAAATGATCAAGTTTGACTCGATCCGAAAGGTGGACTTGTACAACAGTGATCAACTTGAGCTGATGTATCAAGCCCTCTGGAAAAGCATGAAGGTAGCTTCCTTTTGGATGAATAACTTTGTGTTTCCGCAAGAGACTCACATCTTCCCTCAGCGTCGAGTGACATCTGCATGGGATTTGGTGACCGGGAGCAGCGAGCACAACGCAATGGGCTTCTCCGGTACCGAAGACAATCGCAAACTTCTTCCATTATCCGTCAGGCAGATTGAACATGATTTGCCCGAGCTCAGAGCTACGAACGGAGCAATGATTGATCGAATTCTTAAGTGTACATCTCACGTTGTCTTGCTCCCGGATGATCGTGGCGACCTGTGGAAAAGCGTATTGCAAAAATGCGTCGAGATGAGAGTGGACGCTCTGATTGATGTGGGTGGTCTAATGGCGGGAATCAAGAATGCAGATGCTGCTGTCTTCCTCTCTGGAATCATTGACCAGCAACAAATGCGTGGTGTAGTGTACTTCAGTACCACAAGCGATGCTTGGAGTGTTTATTCACTTCAAAGCAAAGTGCACTGCCCACTCCAAACTTCTTCTCTCACCGCAGCGGAATGCTTTGCTTTCTACGATGAAAGTCGATGCCGGGGGTCTGATTTGAAGCTTGCCATCAAGGCTTGTGCGCTCGTGACACTAGAGCCAGGGCTTACCAAAGATCGATTCCTACAGGCATGTGCTCGGATGCGCAAGCTCGAGACTGGGGAACAATCTCTGATCCTCGCTGGGACGTCAGAAACGCTCGGCACGCTAAGCACCGTGGAGGACGTGTTGAGATTAACCATCAAGAACTCAGCTAAAGCCATCGAAAAGGGCATCATGGAGCTGTACGATCGAGGCATCAATCACTACAAGTTCCCAGAACCTCAAGAGATGGATGTTTCGCTGGTTGCTTTGTATGGTGATGCAGTGAAGAAGTTCCAGTCTATGGGATCATACCTTGACGCCACAATTGAGAGTGTTGACGATTTTTCGGAGGATGTGGAGATCTTGGATAAATACTGCAGGAATATTGGCGACAAGGCGAACGTGAAAGCTTCACAGCTTGCAGAAGAGTGCGAACGAGAATTGGAAGAGGAGGAGGAAGAAGAAGAGGAAGAAGAAAGAGAAGTAGAAGTTATGTCACCTTGCTCTGAGATTGATTGGGATTTTTCTAGTGCATTCTCCGGCAGGCCCCTGGGCACCGAACTGTTCAAAGTAAGGGATGATGTCGATCTGGACATCAACTGGAGTTGCAAGCTGCTGTGCACCCGAAACTATTTGAGAACTGTCACGATCGGTTCTTCGCGCAAGTTCTATTTACGACCTGTGAATGCCTTCTTACGTTTTCCCGATGGCCGCATTGTGTTGATATCTGACTACGAAGCCGAAAACCTTTTGCCACATTGGTGGCAAGTGCAGCATTCTTCCCCCGAGGTAAAGCTTGGACATCTTGCTTTGGCTTCCAGGAAGATTTGGCTCGGCGGGGATGAAATGATGCTTCGGAATAATGTCTTCACCATGACATCAGCAAAGGTGTTTCGGGGCTATGTGAACTTTGAGGAGGACGAGCAAAAAGTGCTGGGAAAGCTGTTCGTGAAAGGAAAAGCGCGAAGCTCGATTGCGATGCTTTTGGAGCTTCGACATCGGATTCGATTCCTAGAACGCAGCGATTTGGACGAGTTCGCTCTTCTAGCTGGCGATGGAGTGGCAACTGGAGAGGACACATTCAATCAAAGCATGGATGCTGTTTGAGTGTCTAGGCACTAAATAAGTGTCTAGCTCTGTTCTGTGTTGGTTGTTTTTCAACACCATGACTGTAGGCATTACGAATCGATAATTTGTCAGACGATAGTTTTCTTTTATGAGTCTTGCTTCCCTTGCGGCTCCTTGATTGTGCTCGTCAACAAACCATGCATCTGTTGCCGATAACAGAGCCAGAAGAGCGATATATTCTTCTTCTTTCTAAGAATTATCAATCTTATAAATATACAGTTCTATCTGTGCTTCTTCAGCTGGCTGGTATCATTGTGGTTCTGTCTGGCAGGCACACTGCATTAGAACGCAGAGATGCAATCCACATAGTCAGCTGCCTGTGCCAAGCACTCATTGGAAAACTCGCATTGATATTGGTCTCCGCACAAAACGGGCTTCTGCTCGCGAGAGCATCGATTGTCACCTGGTTCACGGCATTCTTCATAGACCGGGGAGCAATTCACAAAGTTGGCGGCTTGAGCAAGGCATGCATTGTCGTAGATGCATTCTCCACCGATTCGATTCGGGCAGGCAACCGGATACAAATTACGGGGGCAAAGGTTGTTGCCTGGCTCTGGGCAGAGAGGCTCAGCAGGTTGACAGTAGTCAATGTTGTATCCAGCCGCAGTAGCCAAACACTCATTGTCATAGGAGCAGCTGTAGCTGGAACCACACTCCACAGGGTCATAGATGTAAGGGCAGGCCGTATTCGGGGGTACCTCTTGGCAGCGTTGGAGATTGCGAAGTGAGCCTGCAATGACCTGGCTGGTGGCAAAGGCAAAGAAGAATAGAGCAGCGAGCTTCATGATGGTTGTAGTTTCTGGGAATCTTTTGTTTTTGTTTTTGTGATGTTTGGTTTTGTGTTGATTGTTTCCTGGATTTGTGGGAGCAAATGTTGACGACCATGAGGAGAGCCATCCAGTCGTTGTAACGATAATGCCGGTCTGATACCCACTTGAAGTTGAATGATTATGCAATGTACCGGTAGATGCGGTTAAAGTAATGTTTTAGGGTACAGTCGAAAATAATATCTACCGTATACGAAACAATTTATTACCACATCTACCTGACAAAACTAGCTGAGTTCTTGAAGCACGACCTCCCCAGCTAGCAGCCCGCGAATGAACCAATCTAGCCGAATATGAGATCTGGAAGGGGTTTTGGTTCCGCTGTCGTTGTCCCGTTGTCACTTTGCTGCCTGTTGAGCGTCTTCTAAGCAATGAGTTTGATAGGTAGCAGCCGTCCCCTACGGTACTAGCAGCGTCGTAAAAGCCATCATTGTTACCCTGCTTCGTTTGTACCTGGAATGGGATAATCACGGAAAACGTGGCTTTTGACAGAGAGAAGTGGAAGCGCCGTACCGGTGCAGCCAGTCAATTGCACCAGCACCGTGTTTCTCTTGGACGATGCGCCTTCGACTGCAGAACTCAACAGTCAGAGGTGACCCAATTTCAGCTATTCAAAAAACGCGAAAAAACCTGTCTTCGTTTGCAAATCTCGCCCGGACTGCGTCTCGTGAGTCTTGTTCTGTTTGGAAAGTGTGGAACGAGCAAGATCAAGCACAGCCAGAGTGCGAGCTTACTTCCATTTGAACAACTATCGTACATCGTAATATGTGCAAGTTGTAAACTAGTATAGAGTTATAAATCATGGTTCTTGGCCGTAGTTGCCCCTCTTGGCCATCCGTTGCAAAACGAAATCATCTTTCTCTTCCGAAGGAGCATCTCCACGCGAGCGTTTCCCTGCTAGCTGTTGCTCCAATATGCCTTGTGCGGTTTGCGCTCCTCCTCCTTGAGAGATACTCGAGGCACGACGTCGTAGAGCCACCTCCTGTCGTTCCAACATGGAGACTCGCTGCAAATAGGCCAACTCTGGGTTCCTCGCCAGGATTTCGGCTTGCGTCCTGGAGAGACCAGCAGCAGCAGCAGCTGGTTGCGAGGAGCCAAGCATATCCGCTTGCGCCATTTGCAACCTAAAGTCCATCGCTGCAGTGTTGTTGGCGAAGGAAGATGTCCTCGACAGAGCTGCTTGCAAGTGATCTCTGCCTGGCATGGAAGCAAATCCTGGGGCACCATTCAGCATTGGGTCGGCACGTCCACCGGGAAGTAGACTGCTGGTGAGTGAAGCCCTCGCCGCGGCCGCTGCAGCCGCCATCGAGTTGGGATGCACATCCGTGCCTCCCAAAAACCGGTTGCCGCCGCTCAACATGAGTTCCGCCAGCCTCTCCTCGCGGTTGGTACTGGCTGCGCTTGAGACGGAAGGGACGGAATCTTGCCGTCCAAGGGACGTTTGTAGGGCCGCCAAGGAGTCTCGAGAGGAGTCGCGGCGACCCATGTTGGCGGAAAAAGGCTGCGCGAGAGATTCGCGTCCAAACAGCGCGGATGCTCTTGACAGCGAAGGGAGAACCCCGGAGGCGGCGGACAAGGCGGATGCAGCCTCGGCCCATCCAGCATTCGTGGGAGGCAAGTGACTGGATTGATTGAGGATGGCCTGTCGGAGATGGGCGAAGGAGGCCGAATCAGAAGAAGAACCCATAGAACCGGCACTGTTGCCAGTGGCCATACCCGCTGCACTCCCAAAGGAAGCGGCAGAAGGGAATGCCACTGTGTTGTTGTTCAAGGAAGAAGATGACCCGGGAAGTCTGTTACCGGTTGCGAAAGGAAGAGACCTGGACATGGTAGCCCTGCGAGATGCTTCCTGAGCTTCAATTTCCCGAATCGACTCCAAGAAACATTTCTCCAAGACGTCCAACTTTGCCTTTCGTTCCTGGACGTCTTTCTCTGGAATATCGTAGTCACGAGCATACTGCATCTTTCCCTTGTAGTTGGTGCCCTCAAACTTCTTGGAGACTCTCTTAGCCGAACACATGAGCTTCTTCGCAAGGAGCTTTCTTAGGCTGACACCTGTATTATAGTGATAGGAAGGAGCATAACAGAGAGGAAGGGTATAAGAAACTCTTGCCACATGCTGCAGCACAACATGCAGCAACCGCAGGACCCAAAGAGGGGAAGCCGTCACTTGGCTACGTAAAAGACAGACTGCTCATACACGATATCACTGCAGCAGCATACGGTAGCATGGCCATGGCGTACCTTCCTCAACATCCAGATGTCCTGAATGGAATGCATCCATCAATTCCTGAGCAAATTCCTCTTCCTCCTCCGTCCATTTACCCGATCGCTGAGCGCTCTGCATCATTTTAGAGTTGTTGTTTCGGTGGTAAAATTGTTCAAGAAAACGGTGCTGTTTGTTTTGCTGGTTTTCACCGAGTCTGAGTCGATTTTATGGGGGAGCCAAAGGAAGGAAGAAAGAAAGTGCACCTATTCATTCGAGAACGAGAAGTGCCAGCGTAGAACGGACGGAGCTCGAGCTCCTGTCTGTGCTCTGCTTCTTTCCAAGGACGACCTCCCAACTCCCAACAGTCTTGCAAAACCAAGCTAAAACGGTACTGCTGCATGGAGCATTGCGCGAAGGTTCGAGAAGCGCTCGTGTCGGTTGCCAACTCAGAAATCAGAAGAGCCTGGAAGCTGGAAGGAGCAATAGATGGTTGATTCGCATGTTCGCATCCATCCAAGAGAGTCCCAGCCAGACTGTCACTCACAGGTCCGTAAAAGACCTCAGTGGAACTTTCCCCACCAGACCTTTGGCAGCTCCTTTGGCGCAGGACAGTCTGCCCTTCTCAAACTGCTTCTGGTCATGGGCTTAAATTTATTACGAAAGTGGGTTAGAAGAGTCATATGGATCAGTTTCCCATGTGTTCTTGGGATTTAATGGATACGGTACTTTTTGCAGGTGAAGTAAAATTTTAGCTGTACCAAGCTCATAAACTGGCAAAAGTACGAAATATTACTGTACTACGCATAGTAAGTATGAAAGTAAGTATGCTTAGCTCGGTCATGCGGCCGGCGAAGTTACGAGGGAACTTCGTACAACGATCAGAAAGGTGAATGTCGCTCTTCAGTCTTTTACGAGCTCTTTTACGGTCACCCAATCACAACCATTGAGGAACTTTTGGCAACTTTCTTGTCAGCTGCTTCGCTGCTTCCCATATGCCCTTCTCTTTCTTGTCGTGGAGACAGTCCGATGTATCGACGAGGGTCTACGTTATTTCGCTTTTTTTAAAGTTTGGGATAGCAAGAAGCGCTAAAGCTTGAGACCAAGGCTACATGTAATTCTTCAGAGTTTGCATCCCTCAGCAAAAGCAGGAGAGGGCTACAAAGCTGGGCAGCAAATATTGTCGACACTGGCTAGCAGGTTTCTCTAGACTATGTCCTTCATCACACTGAGTATTTGGATCTCACTAGCCAGCAAGAAACTGTTGGCAATATTCTTTATTCTTTGCCGGTTTTCTGTAGCCATTGTCAAGTACCACTCCAGAGTCCAGAGTAGCAAAAAGCTGTAGGGGCTCTACTCTAGCTGCATGTACCTAGCTAGCCAGCAGACGAAGATACTGCCACCAGAAAGGGAAGACTTACATACAGGTACTTACGTACTTACAACGTGCAAGTACAATATATTAAGGAACAACGACCAACGAACCAACGGGAGGTCATTGTTTCTGCGGCAATGAAGGTCCTCCCAGCTATCAATGGCTTGGCGCCACGAGCAAACCGGGAACTGTTATATCTGACAATCTCCTATCTTGACCCATTCAGCCAACAGCTTTTATTTGCTGAGGCTCCTCTGTCTCAGTGGCCACGGTCCACTTAGCTTTGGTCGTCGGTGGTTAGTGCTCATGACATTGTACATTGTACCATTAATTTATTAATTTTACTCTGGCTCTAGCTAGAGGGAAGCACGATGGGTTGCGTGACTTACGTACTTTGGCCTGGTCTCTGAGCCCGACTGTTGGTTTGCTTTGGACCTACCGGTATTGTTGTAGAGTAGCTTGTACTCTTGTACTAGCTAGCTAGCTAGTAGCTAGTATTATTGAATTATTTATTTACTGGCGACTGCTGAGACGGGTTTCGGCTTACCCCTCCTTTTTTTTCGCTGGTGACCAGCGTAAACTCGAAATGATAAGTCTGGAAGCACCGAAGCTCGGATTTAAAGGATCTGCTTTTCACTTTTCACATTTGCTCCTTTAATAAAACACAAACTCAGCAGAGGGTATGCTCGTGTTTCCTGAATACCAGCCAGTAGGCGGATTTCAGAGCAGCTCAGGAACAGCTGCGCATCTTCAGATTATCCTCTGCATGCGATTCTAAAAGATGATGGTGAGATCTTCCCATGCTGCTGCAGGTACCGGTGCTATGGTGCGGCTTTTCAAGCCTAAGTGGACATCCTTTTTTAAAATTTAATGTTGAAGTTTTTCTCACCGTCTCTGTCGTAATCCAGTGGCTGTAACCCATAAACAAGATACAACCCAGTTGCCCCTACTATCGGTACCACGCCCTCGGAAGCTTATGGTGATCGAACGTCAACCTCTCCAAGGACATTCTCTACAACGGCAACTCGGAAAAAAATTTAAACGCCGGTGAATTCTTCCCCTACTACCAGGTACATCATACTGGTGTTGGTGCTATCAAGCTATTGAGAAGTCAATTAGAAAAATTTGAAATACTGGGTTTTGTGCTATGGGTGGTCCCGGTGTTGAATGCTCTAATTGTAGATGTACACTCATGTAATCGAGTACCGCAGCCAAGAGGAAAGAGTGGCGAGACATTGAGTTTCTCACTCCTATTATTCAATCCGAAAATCTAATAGTAGAGACATTCCGCTTCTCAACCACCAAATCTGAGAGGAAGCTTCGCACCAGGAGATGACCGTCGGCTGGCTTTTGGACCAGCACCTACAACGTAGCCAACTGTCCCAATGTCCCAATCTGGACTTCACGATCTGCTCAACCATGTTTCGATGCCGCTGCAGATGTACAGGGTACTCGAGTACTAGTACCCGATAGAAAACTGAAGTTTGGACCTGTCTGCACGTTGCCCTTGATATCCTCCTCAGCACCGCACCACTCCGACGGAAGCCCTTGGTGTCTAACGCGAGGCAACAACCACCGAGACTCGTATTCTCCACAACGGTACTACCGTAGTACCGCAGCCAACTCCCTATCGCTGGTACACATAGTCTACTTCCAAAAACAACTCGGAAGAAATGACCTCTGCATTCCGAGTTGTCACTGCTGTCAGTTGTCACCACACCAGGATGGCAAAAACACGCAAGCATGACGAACACCCAAGATGCGTACCGTACATGTTTTGCTAAAATCGTTTTCTAGCTAGCTAGCTAGCTCCGGTAGCTAGACTCTAGCTAGACTACTTTTGAGTTTCAATCAAGCTTTGGATACGGTACCCTTGCTTTCTTACAGCCTACCCGGCTTGTATCTTTCACCTCCGGTTGCACCTGCCAAATTCTAGCTCTACTGTGTGTAGCCAGCTAGAGCTAACTATACCTGGTAGCGGTAGACGCTCGGAAACAACGGAAAGCAATGGTAAATGTAACCTCCATGGATAAGGATCCGATTGTAGATTCGATTCCTTGTAGACTACCACGTACTTAGTAATCGTAGTGGCTACACACATCTCTAGATCTCAATTATCTCACACAACACTCACGGACACACACCTACACACACACAAACAGAGCCCTGAGTTGGTTGAGGGCAATAGTACGCGTAAGTCAAATGGAGTTGGCCATCCCCCGCATCTCACAGAGAAACCATGAAAAATATCATCGTTTTGGAAGATCAATAGACTAGTAATGATAAAATTAATCAGGGGAATTCAGCCATCTTTTGAAGAGGTTACCCAACCCAGAGCAACCACCCGGGCTGCCTGGGCTTACATTATCGGCTTGTTAGCAGTAGCTTTCGGGGAGCAATCCTGGGTGGATCCAAAGGAAGTACCTGCGAAATCAAGCTATTGATACGACAAAGCCCCCCTTTCTGCAACCGTGGGGAAAGAAAAGAACGAAGCCACTACGGTAGCCAGTAGGTCTCCTTTATTTGGGATGATCAGCTCCAGCACCGGAACACCAGTCCGCCTACCGGTACGTGACGTACCGGTACCGTAGTAAAATAACAATAGTTTGGTTGGTTTGAAATCTAAGTAGAAACAATTGAAAACTATTGAGGCAGCCTGGGCATCAACAAAATCTCCCACGCTTTGTTTCCGGGCGCTCTGAACTGCAGTCTTCGGCACCGGGGGAGCGCTTTGGTCTCCTTTGTGGCGGCAGTTGCGCCATTGATGGCACTTGAGCAGGAGCTGCCGAAGCGACATCACTGAGCCCTCCAGCAAGTCCTCGATTGTGCAGAATTTGCAAGCGGAGACGTTCTTCCGGCGACATGATGGGCCAATTCTGTTGCTGTTGTAGTTGCTGCTGTTGCTGAAGTGATCTCATCAACGCATTGTTGTTCCCACCAAGTTGTTGATTCGAAGCGCCTCCTAGGGAAGTGATACTGAGACAGGTATTGGGGACGTTGAGACCTGTGTGTGGGTCGGTCGCTCCGCGTGCGGCAAATGAGTTTGCCTGAGCCCGCATAGATGCCTCCAACAACTGCATCCGAGCATGGTCCAGTGACGGCCTTCCGAGCGACGACAGTGCAGGAAGCTGGTCCCTCTCAGCATGCAAGCTCGAAAAGGTCAATCCCTGACTTCTGGATAACATTTCCTGAACGTTTGCTTGATGAAGGGTGCTTGGTGAGATGGAAAAATTGGAGGGAGCGCCGAACATGTTACTGCCTACCCCTGCGGCTGCCAGTCCTCGTGCACCCTGCAAAGCGTGAAGGTAGGCGTGGCTGCCAAGGTCCGCATCACCTCGAAGAGAGAGCAGCGCAGCAGGCGAGGAAAGGCCGATTGGAAGAGTTGGTTCTGGCAACATGCGTGCTCGCTGATGATGATTCTGCGGTACTCTTGCCATGGAGGACATGGACTCCCCACTGGTACCTATGCCAGTACCCGCCGCAGAACGGATCTGACCTGCTTCCATTGACCCTTGCTGATCAAGTGCCCTTTTCGACTCTTCCTCAGTCTTGAGCCGAGCGACAGAGTCCAGAAATGACTCTTCCAGCCTTGCCATATGCTCCCGTTTGGCCCGTATCTCCTCTTCTGTGGCATTGACCTTGCGCAAGTATATCATCTTTCCATTGTAGTCAGTGCCCTCGTATTTCTTGGATACTCGTTTTGCTGAGCATCGCAGCTTCTTGGCAAGGATCTTTCTCAAGCTTATGCCTGTGATTGCAGCGTGCAGAACAGCAGTAAAAGGGTATTAAGACTAATGAAACAGTGTTTGGTCACGACGAACCTAGTCTTCCTCTTCTACCTACCTTCTTCGACGCCACTCAGCAAACCTGCATGGAATGCCTCCATCAAAGCTGCAGCATAGCTTTCCTCTTCGGCCGTCCACTTCCCTGATCTCTCGTGTCGGTTCATGGTGTTGCAAAACTATAGATAGACCACTTCCAAGTACATGTAAGTTCCAAGAGCTCACTTTTGCGACCCAAAAACTTCGGGGCTCGTGTTTGGAAATTCTGAAAATGCATGCAGTGACTATGCAGTGGGAACCATCCAAAACAAGGGGAATCCCATCCCAATAGAAAAGAAGACAAGAAGACTGCCTATTAATTACTCAGAAAGCACTGAGAACTTCATGTGGCTTGTTTTTACCAGTGAGATCTCCTATTAGTTGGCCACCACCTCATTCCAATAATTAGGAGACCAAAGAGACAGGGAAATCCTTCTTTCTTCTTTCAGCTTCCGTTAATAGGGTAGAAGGTTGCAGAATGAGGGCCTTTAATGACTTTAATGCACTCTCTTTCCCAGTCCTCAGGGGTACTGTTATAGACTGAAGGAAGAGCAGAGATGCCGCTGCTAGTCAAGGGCCCCAAGGGCAGTTATCAGCGCTAATCAAAATGCCATCTTTGGTGTTCTTCAGTAGTTTGGCGTAAAGTATCACGAATCATGATGGTCTTCAAAGACATGCAGAAGGGGAGCTATTGGGTCCAGCACTTTCAGCTCTTCAGCATCTTACACTTTAGATAGCTCTTTAGATATTATAGGTAGTATCTTTCCCAAGATCTTTCCCTTCGGCCTGCTCTGTTGACCCATCAATTAAATCTTACTTTTCGTTATCTTGTACAGCTATAATGCTGAAAACCTCATAAAACTACTAGATAACTACTCCAGTACCGGTCCATTGCAACCATACGAGTTCGTACGTTCGGCTCCGTACTGAGTGATGCCACTAGCCATTAAAACACCTTCGCGGAACATCTTCGACCACTCTTGGACTCCAAACCATCTGAGAGAGGGGGGACCCAGTCAAGATGCAATCCTCTCTTTAGCCCGTAGGAGCTTCGTAGAGTCCCAATACATGTATCCTCAGGAACACAAGATGCAAGATGCTCTGGTACCTCAGCCATCCCTGGGCTGAGCCCGCAGAGCCACCGGGGAATTTTCTTCTCAAATAGCTACATGTAGGAGATGGACAGCCAATCGCGGGTGGGTTGAGCTGGGGGTTGATGCAATTGATTCGATTCATCATTCGATTCGATTCAATGATTCTTCAATCCCTGAAGTGGAGATGACTACTGTAGCAGAAAGCAGAAAGCAATGAAACGATTGCTTTGCCTTTTCCAATAACGCCGAGCCGCCGAGTACAGTTCCAAAACACAAGAACCTTAGATAGAAAAGACACACTACTTACTTGTATTCACCTGAAACTAAGAAACACCACTAACTTGGTTGATGAGAAGCTCCTTGGAATTCTTTGAAGCTGGAAGCAACTACAACAAATAAATTGAGGAAGGTTTTACGGAGAAGATTTATTTGTCTACAGCATCGAGTTTGGGATACTAGCATACTAGCTAGTAGGGTCTAGGTCGCGGCATCAGTCACCAAAAAGCAAAGCCGTAAAGCTCAAGCATTCCCTGCCTCACAAAACCCTCTTCGGCTGGACCAGCAAGATCGCAGGTGGGTAGGAAAATTCTACCCTTCTGCCCAGAGTACTAGCTAGCTAGTAGTTTCCTGCTGCCGCCCCTGCCTCCTCCAAGGCGACCTACGAACTGCCCAACTATAAGACACCTAAGACTCTGAAACCCCGAGTGCTTGGCCGGAACTCAGATCAGAAGCGAATCGAATCACACGGTGGATGCGGCTGATGAGTGCTAAAGACTAGTACGCCCTTCTTGCTACATGGTGAGTCAGCACGCTTCAACTCTACTTGAGCTCTCGCAGATGCTACTGGTAGCTAGATGCCAGCCAGTAGCTCACGTGCTATACAACATACCGGCAGCTACCGGTACCGGTATGCTAGTAGAGGGCTATCCAGTCTTTCTGACTTCAGTGCACCTGTTGCATATTGGCATGCCAGCCATGGCTATTTTGCACCTCTACAGTATGAAATATCTATTGCGAGCGACCCAGCCCGCAACTGGCTAGTGAAATGAACTTGGTGTTCTAGCTAGCTATCTTCAACGAACGTGCTGTGGTGTTCCTTCCTGAATCGAATCAGCGGAACGCCACATGGGTTGCCCAAATCGCTGTAGTAACAGTTCGACCACTCTATCCCGCTGAAAACTTCTTTTTATGTCCCTTTTTTTCTCCGTTTGGATGGCGAGGCGTCATGTTGAACTTCGTCATCTTCGCTGGGTCGCTTTCGCTCTTCTGCTGCTGATCCAGGAAGCATGCACGCCTCTGCGGCCATCGTCCCGCCTGCTTGCAGCCGCCTTTCATCGCGGCGAGCTGCTTCCTGCATCACCAATGATACGTTTGGAAGTGTTGCTGCTGTCGTCGCTGTTGGTGCGCCTAGTAATCGATTGGCACCGAATCCTCGTCCGCTGTTCAAGTTGGCCAGCGATTGGAAATCCCGTCCCAAAATGCTGGACCCCAAAGCAGCAAGGCTAGAAGACGTATCAGCCGCGGCAACGAGCGGACCTTGTGGACGAGGAGCTTCAGGCAATGATGCCATCTGAGAAAGACCGAGCTGCGCACTCGCAAACGGCACCCGAGCCTGCGATGTTGGTAGTGATAACGACGCAATCGCATCCCTTTCGTTAGCGTTGGATGCCCGAGCAGCAGCACCGGGAAAACGCGGCGACGACATGCCAGCCTGTCTGATGGATAGCGCAGGCCATAGGGACCCCCGTTGTTGCGCCAAAAGGATACTATCGATATCGGAAGCATTCAAGATACCCCTCTGAAACGCGTCAGTGTTGCCTTGGTGGTTCCTGTTGGACAGGGCCTGGGCGTTTCCCGATGACAAAAGATATGATTCCCAACCCCCCTGAGTGAGCGAAGCCCTGCTCAGCGCCCCCGTAGTGGCTAAACTACTAGACCCGGTTGAACGGCCAGTCAGGCCACCAGTAGGTGCTGCTGCCATCGTCGAGTCACCGCCCGCCCATAGAGACGCCGCTGCTGTAATGTCCGACAGATTCCTCGACACCGTAGCACTGGCTGCAGATGGCAGTGACGCAGTCGGAAATTGTAGGGACGAGGCAAAACCACCACCAGCCGCGGTCGAAGCCCCCGCTGCGAGTTGCTGGTTGGCGATTCTCCGGTACAGCTCAGCGTTCAAGCTCGAAAGGGACGGAACCGGATCCGCACCAAAAGCCGCTGCCGGATTACCGCGGGTGGCGGCTGCTGCTCCGGAGGAAGGGAGTCTCCCACCCAGCAGCGCGGAATTGGAGGACGACGATGGATCTTGTGCTGCTGCCGCCTGGTGCAGTAGAGCATCGTGAGACCAGGGTCGAGTTTCACTTCGTGGCGCAGCAGCAGCAGCAGACAGTTGACCGGCGGCAGGTCTGTCACGACGAGGTGTGCTATCTATCGAGTGCAGGAATCTCTGCTCGAGTACGGAAAGCAGCTGCCTTGTCTCGAGAAGCTGCCCGCTCGTTACGGTAGGATCAGAGCGATAAGTTTGCTTGCCTTTGTAGTTAGTGCCTTCGTATTTCTTGGATATGCGTTTGGGGGAACACATGAGCATTTCGGCCAAATACTTGCGGAGTCGTTGACCTGCAGCAAGCAAAGCAAAACGCACGAGAAAAACATGAGTGGTTGGGTATACTATTGGCAGCAGTGAAGTTTGTGGGTAACATTTGACTTGTCCATTGCTTGATCTACACCGGTAGTAGTACGATCCCACCGTTGCCCGCTGCTAGCTACTAAACGTCCTTACCATGCTCGATTTCCGTGAGTCTGCCACCATGAAAGGCCGCAACGATAGCTTCCGCGTACTCTTCTTCCTGACGAGTCCATGGTCCGGAACGCTGCATCATTGGGGTGATCAGCGTTGCTTTGCCTTGCCTTGCCTTGCCTTGCCTTGGTACAGTACTGCTTGTTACTACGATAGAAATGCTTTGACTTGGTGCGTGCAGCTGCGGCCTTGGGTGTCTATGCGTCTATTCCCACCTTACTCTGACTTGTGTGAGAATTCTTAGATTGGTAGAAATGGTGCAACGGAGTTTCTCAATGTAACATCGTTGAAGGTGACGGGTGAAGGTATGAACAAGTAAGTGGTTCAAATTTGGGCTGTACCTGGTACCAGCTAACTAGCTAGCTAGCTACTAGCTACTAGTACTCGCTACTACTAGTACTCGTACTCGAGTGGCTGGTGACTTTCAAAGCAGTTTGCAGGCAGCATTCACCCATCAGAATAGAATAGAAAGGAAGCGCATGCTTATTGGTGGGCAGCTGCAGGGGGTGTTGGTGGTGCACTTTTCCTACCAGACCATTTTAAAAATTTTGTACCAGCTTTGTACACTGTACCGCAGGGAGCCACAGTGCGGCCACACGCAAGCCACGGGTGACTTGCCTTGAAGTTAGTCTTGAGAGAGGTTAAACTGCATGCTCCCGCGTCCCGCGACTCTATTTGGACGTAAACCACTTCATTGTTAATTCATTATGTCTGTAAAACCACTGTTGAAGATTCACTTATTAGATGCACTGGCAGAGTGTGCATCTAGGCTACTAGTAAAATGTATTTAAGCAATTAGAAACGTGGAAAAGTGCGTCAATTAGCTCGTCAATTTTCCTCATACGTCCATCAGAAAGTTTTTTTCACCCGTAAGATCTTCAAGGTCAACTGGGGGATTTATGTTTACGGAAGCCGGGCACATGTGGGGTCCATGGCATTATAGTTTTCATTACCTCTACTCTGGAAAATGTCGCAACTGTCTATGGATTCTTTTTGCTTTGCACTGTGAACTAGTCTTATGCACTAAGTCTACACCTTTCTTGGCGAATGCAAGTCTTAAAAGCAAAGTGGCACTGGAGCGGACAGTTTTTCATCGATCTGTTCATGCTTACCGGTGAGATTTGGATTTATTTGTGCGCTTTGAAGATGGCCCCTTCAAGTTGTGTCTCTGCTGGTTCGTCAGCGTTCCAAGCGAGGAGGTCCTTGGGCTTGTGTTGAAAGGAGTCCTGCTGGTGCCGTGCAGTCCTAGAATTGATCCCGGCCTCCGGTTTGTATGCAAGTTCGTGGTATCTTCGCCTAAGGACGAGGCACCTGAAAACTGCTGCCTGTTTCCACTCGTCAACCGCGATCTCGCTTGGACGTCCCTCTCCAACCACCCGAGAAGGGAGGACCCGTTTGCGGTGCCATCTTGAAGATCCAGTGTCGCCCTTGCCCTGGCGGTACTGGAAGGCAGATTCGGTGAAAGAGCAAGCGGAACGTTCGTTTCAGTGCTAGAAGCCACATGCTTCAAGCAACCAATGCGTGAATGGGAGTGCTTCTTTTCATTAATTCGCGGGGAGTATAGTCCACTCGGGACATTGTCAGGGTCTTCCTGGCGACAACGCTGCTCGGGAGACGCAACAGGGACATTAGTAGCGCCAGCTTCGCCTCTGACCTTCTTTGCATTGTCAAGGACGGCTATGGAGTTCTGGAACCTTGCTTCGAGCAGGCGCATTCTCTCTTGGGAAGCCTCCATGTCCTTCGTGGTTCGTGGTAGCCACTAGACTTCTCAGGTACGTTTCCTTCCCATGATACCCACTGCCCTCGTACTTTTTGGACACTCTCTTGGGAGAGCACATGAGCTTTTCAGCAAGGTACTTTCGAAGGCTCGTTCCTTGTAGACAATTAGGGGGCAAGGCAGTGGTGAGAGGTGTACAGTTCCATTGATCTTCAAGTGGGGAGAAGCAAGTACACAGAGCTGTACACAGTGTGGTGACCCCTTACCCCGTTTTATGCCGAGCAGGCCGCCGTGGAAAGCGTTGATCAGGGCTCGGGCATACTCTTCTTCCTCAAAAGTCCACTTTCCAGATCTTTTATGGTTGCTCATGTTGCCGAATTTGGATCTTCTCTGCTGCTCGATGCTTTGTCCAGGTACCGGTATTTGTTGGTGCTGAGAGATCCTGTTAGAAACCAAACAGGAGGGTACAAAGTCCACTCTCAGAAAAATCATGGGGGAATAAATACCGCGCCCTACCAGGTACGTCTAGTAGGGTCCAACATGTGTATTTCTAGGTGCAGGAGAGGTACGGTACCGGTACCGCAGATTGCTTCGATTGAATACATGTATCGATACAGTAGTATTCAATCATCCAGCCAATCAGCTAGCCAGCCACACTTCCCATCACGGATTAGCCTGTAAACTGCTTTCCTTGCTGCAGCTGACTGTAAAGCTTTTGCAGGAAGCGAATTCACCTTAACGCGGCCAACGGGGCAGTGGAGGGAGCTGATGAAACATGGTTGCCAGAATGACTAAGTTAAGTGTTGACGCCACGATGCAAGTGGCGATCTAACCCTTTAGAATGAAACCACAAACTAGCTCTGGCTAGATATCTTTTATCTTTTTCATCTACTCGTACTCTGGCCTGGTGTTCATTCAATCATGCTCGACTTTGCTCGCCAGCTCACGTAAAGCTTTACATCCCACAGGAATTGGAGGAAATACTACCAGTGCTCTGTACTGTAGCTCTGTAGACGTCTATGATAGTAGCTGCAGAAGTAAAGTAAAAGTGCAATCCTTTCATCGTTTCTTCTTCCACTGAGACTGAAAGCTTGGATCGAGACGGCGCGTTAGATCTACTTGTCACCGGAACGGTAGCTACCTGTACTGGTACAGCGTACTAACCCGAACTTTCTAGGAAAAAAGAATCATTGGAACACATTGCGGGATTGATCCGGGGACTTTTACACATGGTCACACGTGGGCGTCCTTCAAGGCGTCTTTTGACTAAATCCTTTAAAACTCTTCTGTGTTCCGGGGCGACTCAACTTAAGTATTTTATATTTTCGCAAGACTCCCTGCTCAAAGCGAACCGTCCAAAACGCTTACGTAAGATTCTTAATTCGCTCCTCTACTAGCGATACCAGTAGTACTTAGTATTCGCGCTTTCCTAAAAGCGCAGCACGTACCGTACAGTATGGTACTTTTACGGTACGGTATGGTACTGTGGGAGATGGCTACTGGTACGGTACAAACAATGTAATCGAGAAAGATTGTGCTGTGCGGTTGCCACTCTTCCAGCGCCTAACAAGATTCAAGATTCACATGGCTTCATTTCGAAGACGTGTCGGAGGAACGATCGATCATCATCATCATGTCCACAGGTCAGTCCACAGCCAACATCTGCCGTTCTCCTCCTCCACGTTCACACAATGGTCGTGGTACTAGCAGAGAGACTCGACAACGGCAACAACAGCAGCAGCAGCAGCGCAAAAGCAAATCATAAGACAAACGAGAAGCTTGCAAAAGGACAACAAGGACAAGGGTAACAATAAGATGGAGTCTCAAGCGTCTCAGCCTCATCAGCAGCGGGAGCGACAGGAACAGTCAGCGACTACTCTCGAGAAAATTGAGGCTATGTTGAATGGGTTGACTGCTCACAACACACCATAGTCGACGCTCACATCACCAAAGTCAACGAGTTCATCGCCACTCAAACTCAGCACACCGCCACTCAAACTCAGCACAACAACAATGTCGACGAAAAGCTGGACTTGCTGCTTTCAGCAACCCCGGAGGCGTTGATTGCTCGCTGTGTCCCCCACGACAATGTTGTGGGAACTACGGCGTGCATTTTCGAAGCGGTTCGCCATGGTGGTATGTCGACTTGGTCTTTGGTGCGAGGTCGCAACGGTCAATGCGTGGCTGTTAGCTGTGGTCACTGCATTGACACTTGCAGTGAGGTGAAAGGCCACGAGAATGCCATGACATTCATGTCGGTGCCTCGCCCATTGGTGGGACTGGTGAAGGGCGTTGGGCTCCACCGTGATCATGATGTCTTTGGCAACAACACACACACCCAAATCCCGAGAAAGACCTGGCATTCGTTTGTTTTGGAGCAATTTCCGGACGGCGTTGGCTGTGGCAGAGAATTTGCCTACGTGGGATGCGTGCATGGCGACGGTTGTCAACCGTGGGGAGCTCGATCGTGGGTGGAAAATCATTGTCCCGCAACGTCTTTGGAAAGAACTGCGTTCCATTGCAAAACAATTTGTTCACCTTTCTCCTCGACTCGACTCGGGGGAACCAGGCAACAGCGGTACCTTGATGTACCCGCTGCGTTCCAAAGAACCGGCTCCCTTTGGAGTTTTCCTGGGCGTGCGAGGACCCGACAACACACGGGGCGAGATCTGTCGCTTTGTGGACTTGGCGAGGTTCCAGGTTCACGAACTAGTGAACACTGACAAGAAATATTACACGGTCAAGCGGAACAATTCAAAGAAAGACGCAAACTACACAATTGGAAAACGGCCCGGTGACACGGGCAAGGTGTTCGTCATCTTACCCGAACGTTCCCCTACTCCTAGCACTTACGGGGTTCTGATCCACAAAAATCGGTTCCTTTGAACATCCTTGTTCTTGTGCAGTTCTACGACAAATTCTGCAGCCTTCATTGCAGAGCCTGTTGGGTCAGGATGGATCGAATTGTTGCAGAAGGGATCGATTGCTGGTTGGTTGTATTACTTTGTATGGTCAAGTCAATGTGGGAGCGCGTGCTTGTGGAGGGCACTATCCAATCAGTCGTTGTGGAAATCACTATCAGTTCATGGAATCGAAGAAGAATCAGAAATAAAAATGCTGGAGCAACAGTTCAGCAAAGTAGGGGACGGGAGACAAACGATATAGCAAGAAAGAAACTGTGTAGATAAATAGTGAGGAAAGGGGTTGACGCCCAAGCTGTTCCTGTGCTGTGCTTGCATTCATTGTCAATTTCTTTGTGACTAGCTAGCCCACTCTTTTGAAGACAAAGCCAACTAATAATATCGCTCGAAGATATTATGCCATAATCATACAGCATTACGTGCATTCAATCGATGCAATCCCCTACCACGGCATCCGTAGCTTGGCCTTTTGCAAACTGTTTTGGCGTTTCTAGCTAGCCACTGCGGATTGAAACGCCCGAGCATGTCGGCAGTAAGGACTTGGACTGACAAGCAAGAATCGAAATCAAAGGTATCCAACAGTGTCTCTGGATCCATTCTTTTTAAAGTCTGCACTTCCCCAAAATATTGGACTTCCCCCCAGTTCCCTAGCATGCGCAACCCCCCATTCGTCTGGAGAGAGATCCCTTGAATGCATCTACGTTTTTGTCCCGACTCGCATCATGAAGCAAATGTGTCGATTGTTGTTTGCTTGCGTTGCTGTTCATCGCAACGTCTCTGGCGTAAATGCCAGATTCACGCCCTTGCCGTTTTTGTTTTTGTTTTTGTAGGAGGCATTGTTGTTGTAGTATTCGTTCACAATATACTGATAATATGTGGGCATCAGTTCTTCCGTTTTGCTTTGCGATGTTTGGCAATAATGTGCAATAAAGCAATTGGACACGGGCAAATGGGACAAACACCAATGCGTGATACCCCGTGTGTATTCCATGTACATTTGTTCCGGTTGAATAGCCACTTGAATGTACTGGCTGACTTTGTTGTTGTTGTGGGTTGTAGTAGTAGTAGTAGTAGTATACTCATCGTGGGCATCGTGCAGAATGGCCATGAGTCGATCTTGATCCAACGGCCATTCCGTTCGAAACTTGAAGGGCAATGGATTTTTGTCATGACTGTCCAACGATGATCTCCACCAAGTCTCCAACACTTGCGTGGCGGCGGGTGATTTTTTCCAAAAGAGCGTCCCGGCATTGAGTGCCCATGTGTAGTTGGTTGTTGCGGCGCGGATTTGGTTGATCCAGTAGGTCCGGCCCGTGACTTGATTGGAATCTTGATTGAAGACCATGGGTTTCTCGTCAATATTCCAATTATCGGGCAACCATGCTTGTAGGATGCGCAGCATTTGGGACAGTGGTTGATCTCGAAATGGATAGTGAATGACAGCATCCGATTCCAAATACAGCCAATACTGATGCGCCGGATGGTCTTGTTGCACTTGCAGCATGGCGGGAATTTTACACCACGAAGCACCCAATACTGTCGACTGATCGGGACCACGACACGTCCAGTCGGTGGTTGTGGATGGTGGTTCGATGTAGTAGTATCCGTGGCCATGGCGTTGGGCATAAAGCGCATTCCACTGAGCGGCGGTAGACCAAAAGGTTCGCGTCTCGTTTCTATCAATGGGTGCCAATGGACGACTTTCCCATTGCACAATGGCAAATTGATGACCAGGAATCTTGTTGCTACTACTGCTGGATGATGAAGAAGAGGAAGTAGTAGTCGTCGTCGGCAGCGGCGGTGGGAGGGCAAACCACCTGGACATTATTTGCAAGAACGACACTGTCATGCACACTCCCAACAGAAAACCCTTGACCCCTTGTTTGCTGCTACATGTACCTGCCGACACTGATGACTTGGCAGGCATCCTTTGTTGGACCAATCGCGTCATGATGATCTGATAGACTAGTCTCCCCACTCGATCTAAAACCCCCTTTTCTGATACATACAAGCGCAAAACGAAAAGTGTGAAGGGAGTTATTAGTTGTGGTGGAGCAGTATCGCGCGAATAAAGAACGTCTCGACTCGACTCAGTCATTATTATGACCGTGTTAGAAGGGACTGCAAAATGTTGGAAGCATCGTGGAGCGTGGAGCGTGGACCCCATATTCGTGACGCTTTGAGAATTGGGTGCAAGCAAGACATGCATCACAAAATCAAAGCGGCAACCGCACACAACTCCACACAAATCCACGGCGGAACATACCGGTACACTCGATCCTTCTGTGTGAACCCTCTCCTCGATCACTGACAACAGATAGTACTCGACTCTCTTTGCTGCGATCTTCGTCTTGATTTGATCTTGTTCATCATGGCAGCAGTGAGAACTTCTTGGAGACGCGTAGCCCTCCTCTGTGTGGTCTTGATGACGGCCAAGGTAAGATCCATTTTTCTTTTTTTCGTCAAGATCCATCTACCGTATGGACTATAGGCGGGTGCTCATTGTTTCCTCTCTTTCTCTGCATGTCAGGTGACAGCCAACGGGAACAACCAGGACGATGGGAAATGGGGTCTTCCAGGGAACAACAACAACAACAAAGAAACCAAGTCCGACGGTCGTAATAGTAGTAGCAAAAAGCCCAAAAAGAACAACAGCAAACCAAAAAAGAAACCTCCGAGCGGCGGAAATGACGATGACGATGATGATTCCTCCTCCTCCTCTTCGAATAATCCCTTCAAGGCATCCTTTACGTTTTTCCCTCAATCCGACTTGACGAGTTTCAATTCACTCCTTCCAAACAACAATGGCTCCCAAAATCAAGAAGAATCCAAGGAAGCATTGCTGTCACGGCTGCAAGCATATGTCCGAGAACGCATGATGGATCACGACGAAATCGACAAACAAGTCAATCGAAGTCGAAAAGAATGGGAAGATCTCAACACGGAACAACACATGAAAACCATTCAAGCCATGATGAAACTGGGATCCATCATTCTCAAGAGTCCACTCATCAAGACGCTCATGAGCAGTCGAGACGCACAAGAATCACTGCGACAGTTTGTTCTGTCCATCAAGGTATGTGTCATAGCACAGTATACATTTTCGGATATGGAGGTGTTTTTGGTCCTCACCTTTTTCTTCGTTCCATCACTACACTACAATACTACTGTATACAGATGCTGTTGGAAGACCCCGAAAAGGAATTTGTCCTTGGGGACTCGGAACGATGGCACGCCATGTTTGAACGACTCAAAAAGTGGGAAGGAGCCTCACAAGATAGTCTACTCGAAATACTCATTCAGCACCTAGAACAACGAAACGACAACAATGATTGATTCAGTGAGTGACAATTCGATCTTCACTCAAGCCCCCTATCACAGCAGACAAGTCATGCTTGCTTGCTTTATTGATTCAAGCTGCATGGGCGTGAACTGAAATTGGGGCAACTTCAAACCTCCTGTCAATCTATCTATACCCTGGCCTGGCCGATTGGATTCCCAGTGTTGTATTCACGACAATATACAGACTAGATTAGCTATACGGTACAATGGAGAGGTTATGGACACTTGCGATTATTGGCTGACCAGTATCCTTTGGCTCGGGTTGGTGGAGTAACACATGGGTTGTTTCCCACTTATATGCCATCACAAGAAGCTGGCACTTTAGAACAATGTGTGTGACATAATACTATTGGCTACTAACTAGGACTCCGCAATTATTCCATTCCAAAGGGAGCAAAACTCTTGCCGGCTTTTCCGCTGGCTGCCATGGTTTCTACAGAAGGTGCCAGAGCGCGAGCTTCTTCCGCAGTGGCCGCAATAATGGCACCATTGGCCACCAACTTTTTGGCCCATTTTTCGCCATGGGGTTCGCCGGTGCAGACTAGGTATTCTCCTGCCTCCTGGTTGGTTTCAACCCGCAAAAACTGATTGGCGTCGCCACTGCTACATGTAGTAGATAATACCAAGACGTCATTTTTGTTTGTGGGTACAGTGGTGCTGGTCCCTTCTCCAAACTTGGACTGACCTTGGATATGAACGACAAATCCAGCATGGGTGGGATCCACTGGGACGTGGTAGACCGTATTGGGCTCTTGTCGAATATATGCCACCACAATGGGGTGAGGTGTCACAATCTTGGTTTCCGGTCCCACATGGTAGATGCCCTTTCCAACGACGGTACCACTGACGGGATCTTTGCAATCAAAGCTTGGCAAATCATTGTCGATCTGGACCTTGGGCGGTAGCAATCGGTCCTCTTGTTTGACGCCCACCCATAGTTGAAAGAGACGACAATGCTGCGTGGGGTCGTCCTCGTTCTCAATAATAGACTGCTCGTCGTGAAACACACCCGATCCGGCATCCACCCAATACGATGCGTGTCCGGTCATGGCATGTTTTTCCGACGTGGTTGGACGAAAGGAATCCCAACTCGAATATTTGCCCTGGGTCAAGATGGTCACCACACTGTGTCCACGGTGGGGATGAGCTCCAAAGGGCGGCATGGCATTTTTTGGAATGGTACTCTCATCCAATAGAATAAACGGATCGACTTCCGCCAATGGATGGTCCGTCCCCTGGCCATCAATGTCCAAGGTGCCAATCAACCGATTCAACTTGCCCGTATCTGTGGCAGGGACCAACTTTTCAATGGTACGGCTGGTACCGGCAGTAGTAGAAAATGACATTGCTTTCTTACACGTCAAGGTTAAAAACAGGGCAGAGCGTGTTGCTTGGATGTTTACCATTCTGGTACCCGTCTTTCAATAATTGTGTTCCAAGATCCAAGATCTTGATGTGCCAAGTCGGGTGTCGGCGCTCGGCGGTGTCGGGTGCCGGCAAACCTATCCGAACAACTCCGAGGAGCTAGCAGTACTGGTAAAAATATCTCCGACATATCCAATCAATGTCAACCACATAGCTGCAGAGATTACGAAAGATTGGCAAGGCATGCCAGTGTTCACAGCTTGAATGGTGGTTAATAGGTACACTACTGTAGCTTGGTTGGAAGCTCGCTTGCGTTGGCGAATGGAACAAAAGATGGTCATCAGGATTGGATGAGATTGGCTTGGTGCAAGATTGGCAATTCTGCTGGAAGATTACCGCAAGTGGCCCTGGTTTGACTGATGTCTGTTTGACCGTAGCGGTAGTATTGGTACTGTACCTTTGAGGGTGCAGTGGGAGGCATCGACACTCCACAGATGCCTGGCCTGCAAGGATGTACCGTAGTAGAAATGATGCTACCTGCTAGCTAGCTAGATAATGGAGGTGTGAAGTCAGTGGGCTGGAAGTTGGATTTGTGGTGGTGTCTGTATGAAGCAGTATGTACCGAAGTTTCGACCTCTTATGCTTAACATTGTGGACGAAGCAGAAGATGCCATGACCAGATAGATAACTTCACACACTCTAGTTGGGGAGGGGATTGACATTCTGATACTGATACTGAAGAGCTCCAAGAAGGCAACCCAGATTCTTGGACACCACCGGAGCCCATTCTTCGCTGCTGCCCCCACCTTGGCTAGTGCAGCCTCGATGGGGGCCATGGGGAACCCTTCAGGTGGCTACTCAGGACCCCCGTTCCACCAGGCGAGATACTCCCTCCTGGGGGAGATTTCATGTCGCCATCCTCCTTCCCGGTTGGGCGGTCCAACAAATTAGCTTTGATTCCCGCCAACTTCATCTGAAACTCGTGCATGCGACGATCCCGGTCAACCCGGAAACGGTCAACTTCCACACGGGCCCTCCATCGGGCCACCACCTGTTCAGCCTCCTCCCGAAGGTACCCATTTGTCACAAGGCGCTCAACACGGTTGTTGGTCTCCCTCTCCAGACGACGGGCCATCCGCTCGTCTTCCTTTCCTTGCTGTTCCCTCAGATGGGCAGCGTGGTCGACTAATAATGCACCCATTACTTCATCCCCGGTCTTCTTGTGCCGGACAGCAGCCAAGAAATTGAGCAGACCCTCCTTTACCATCCCGTTCTCGCGCATATGACAATCTTCCATGGGCTCTCGTGAAATGACCAACTTGGTTCGCCCCGGACCAGCCGGGCTTCTTGCGAGGTTTCCGTCCCTTGGGTCGCTCTTTGACCTGCTTCTGTGAGTATTTCGGCCCACTCTCTCCTCCGACTCCTCGTAGCTCTCGCTTTCGGTGGCGCTATCGCTCACCGACTTGGACTCTCCTTTCTCGTGCTCCTCATCATTGTCCTCACCATGGGTGGACTCCGTGACTTCCCTCTTCAAGCCTACCGGTACGCCACCCTTGGGGGTGACCTTTGCTGGCCTGCATCGCTGCATCCATACGGTATGAGGGCAGCTTATGCTTCCTTCGCAAACAGCTCCTCGGGTTGCACTTTGATTCTTGACATGACACGCCGTGGATTCTGACAAAAAAGGGGGAAATGTCGAAGTTCTCAAGAATCTTTCTGAACTGATCGGCAAAAATCTTTCTGACGTCAGTCCGCGAATTTGCTGTAGCACAATCTTCGAAGCATCCCTCACTTTTCCAGATCCTTGCTTAGTAGCTTGGGATGATCAGCATGAGACAACCTCTATGGATGGTCTTGGAGACTTGTTTGGTATTGGTATTGATCGCACCACCGAAAGCAGCGCTTGGCTTTGTGACACCGGATGGCGTTAGCAGACAGTCAGTGCGTCGCATAGGTCTCCCGCCTACTAGAAAATCCTGGTTGTGTTCCGGACGACAGTCGGATGGTTGGGAGCTGTCCAATGATTTTCCTCAGTTTCTGAACCAGTGTTCCATCCAAACCTTCCTGGTAGTCCTTGGCACACTGCGAGAACCGCAAACCATTCGATGGATGGACAATTTCACGCAGCCTTTGGTCATGGAACGAGATTTCACCAACCGCGACGACGAATCATCTCCCAGCAAGCTCTTGACATATCATGGATTGGGTGCCATGAACACGGACCTGTTTCCCACCTGGGATTCCTACTTTGCCACGCTGTTGGAACAACCGCAAGAAGAATTTCTCGTGCAGACGGCCGCTGGAAGTTTGCACACGCAAGAGTACGAACTGGAAATCAATCCAGCGTCGCTTTGCACGCGTCTCATTTCCATTCGAGAACAGATTGCACAGGAGTTTACCAATGATCTAGGTGTCGTGGCAAATGCCATGGGGCGGCATACTATGGACTCGTATTGGGATTATTTGGATAATAATAATCAGGAGCAAGAAAACAACGACAATGACAATGACGACAACCAGCAGGATACATTCTCGGAGGCACTTGGCGACGTGGTGAACACGGGGGGTGGTACCGGTACTACTACAACAACCCAAAGGCGGTTTCCACCGCACAACTTGGTCTTTTTGGGCTACGCATTGGATGCTATTGATGGATTCACACCGTCTCCACTGCGACAACACAATTTTGATTTGGCCGTACTCTTGGCGACACAAGAAGCCATTCATCGAATACTCAACAATAATAAGTATGAAGACTCCAAAGAGCGCATTTCCCGTCAGTATCTGCAGGAATTTTATGTCCAACGACTCGACAGTCACTTTTTTGGTACCCAGCGATACGGAAGAGCGGATGACTTTTTGGAAGAGTTGCTATTTGTGAATCTACCCCCAGCAGTGTCGGAAGCGGTAGATCCCGTCCTGGTAACGGAAATGATTCTGGAAGAACGACGGCAAGTTGCCTTGGAATGGCAAGCCAAGAGTCAAGATGTTCCCACTCATGATCACATTCAGATTAAACGACTGCAGCTGGATCGTTTGATGGCATCGTACGGAACCAATGATAACTAGCCAGATCGATGGTGACAATTTTGTGTGGACTCGACGCTTTGAACCAGATTCTGTTGCAGATTGGACTCGTCTCATCCTGTTGGTGCCCATTCGGCGAAATGGCCGAGTTTTGCGGGGGCCCTTCATGGCTGACAGAGGTTCCTTTTTGTCCAGCTGCAATCTGCCTGCCTTCACGATCCACTTTGGTTTGCCCTAAACGACTACGACAAGAGACCACCATCCTACTTTACTACCTACATCTTTTTAATTACATGGCACCTTCATCGAAGAATTTTTGCCTCCTGGAAGGCCATTAGACGCAGGACGAGCTGTCTGACAAGATTGTAAAAGATACAGGTATACTATTGCGAAGAATGCCAGTTTCGTTACTCCTTCGTATCTACCGGGATCATTTGTCTCTGCCTTGTCAAGAATGGATCCATTCTCCGCTCCTTCCGACTGGATCCTCTCAGCACTTTGACCTGACAAGAGCTTCATGCAACAATCTCCCTTGTCTTTCGCGTAAAAAAGTTCTCTCATAGGACTTTCATGCTATTGAAGCTGGACTTCAGAGCCGGTTCTTCATTCCGCTGAAGAAACGTTTTGGGCTTCGGTTGTCGATTGTCGGCAACAGAACTGTGGCTTGATGGGTTGACTCTGTCAATCCCAGTAAATTATATTTAGAATACTCACTTTTTGCTGCAATTGATAAAAGCATCATTGGACGGATCTTTTTGTTAGGTCAAATGTGCGCTTCATGTCCTGCCATCTGATACGTGTCTGGAACCATGACATCATGTTTTGCCCGTTAGAAAGATCCAGTACTTGAATTCTACTGGGCAAAGACCACGCTCACAGCTTTCCAGCCCACTAATTTACCCTTACTCCTGCCTTTTTATGCTGAAGAACCCCCATTTTGCATTCGTGTCCAAGTAAGGGAGTTCCTACCGGTACCGTAGACAAGTGTCCTGATTTTAGCTGTTGCGCTGGCTTACAAAAGGTTCAAGGAGAGTCAAGGAGATGGGGTAAATGCTGACCACGGTCCTTGAATTCTGATTCTCACAGAAAACAAACATCATCGTGTTGCCTTCATTATTCAGCGAAACGAGTGCAGTGTACGACTCGCTTAGAAGTTGCGCTAGAAAATCTCAAAGAACATCAGTCCTTTACTTCTCTTATTATCATAAAGAAAGACACCATGGGTTCCTCCTTGTCCAAACGTACGGCGTCAGAGAACGAACAAGAGACACGCCTTGTGGTGAAGAAGGCTCGCTACGAGTCCTGGGGTGACGCGGATGTGGTAGTGGCGGTAGGCGAACAAGAATTCCAAGAATGCAGCCGCTTTCTTCGTTGCTGGAGCGGATTCTTTGAAGATGAGCTCGCGAAAGGCTTGACGAGATTTGAGTTCCCGGAAAAGAAAGCGAGCGAATGGGAACTGATCAAGGCGGTTCTGCATCCGTTTGCCGAAGAATCCGTCAACACCAGCAACTATCATGTCTTGTTGCCGTGGTTTGCGGAGCTCCGCTGTGAAGCTGGGTTGAGTGAAACGGACACTGTCATCTTGAAGGACATTGTCGATCCCTTGTTGGAGAAACCCGAGAAGGAGCGTCAACCTGCGGATGTCGAAGAGATTGTGACGGTGTTGGAACACTGTGTGGATTGGAAACGAGAGAACCCTCGCGGACGGTGCATTACCTTTTTGCGTCAAATTCTCAAAGATCCTACCCAGCCGTTTGAGGGAAAAGAGATCCTCCGCATGGTGCTGCTCCTAGTGAAGGATGATGTTTGCCAGAAGGCATTGTGGAAATTTGTCAAGTACTACCTCCCGGCGGAACTCGTCGAGAGCACCACCTTTCCGGCGGGTCAGGTCTCCTTGGTTGCGGACAATCCGCTCCTCTTGGATGTCATCGAGGCCAATATGAAGTTGAAGAAGTGCCTCTATCTCGTCGAACTCAAGCTCAAGCAGGTGGTGGCGACTCAGAAGAACGAGACGGAAGCAGACAAGGAAGAGAAGACTGCGGCGGCCATCGAAACGGAACCCAAGAAGAAGACTGCGGAACCGGAGAGCGACAAAAAAGCCAGGAAGATCAATCCTTACAAGAAGCAACCCGCGGCCAAGAGCGTTGACGCTCCCGCGGGTGACAAGAAACCGGCCGCCCTGAGTGTCCCCGACAAGAAGAAGAAAAAGAAGCAAGCGGAAGAAGCGGCGGACAAGAAGAAAAAGGCGGCGGAAGAACCGGATTGTGTCGATCTCGTGGAAGTCTAAATAATATCTGGGATGGAGCTGGGTACGATTTGCGTGTATTGGATATTCCTGCCTTTTTTTGCAAAGCGAAAAGAAAGCCTCCTTTCCTTAGGTCTGCCCTTGTTTGCCCGACGACAACAGGATCGATTCATTATTGCTCAAGGCCAACCAAAAAGAAAATACTATTCTCAGTTAGGAGAATCATGCGTATTATAACTACATAGTCATGGGATTTTAGAAACAGTCTTTTGTCGCTTCAACACTGCTATACATGTAATTGTCGTATTGATAGCGCAGCGAGAAGACATGCTGCACGTCGATCGTGACTCGAGCTAGGCCCTGTTCGGCTTGTCTGCTCCTTGGTCCGAGGCCTCTGGCAGACTCACTCTGGAAGTGCTCCGCTATTCTTGGCCTCCGATTCTTTACCGTGGTTGGTACCATAGCTCTGGTCCTGACCAAAAGGACTCGCCTACTAGTTCCTTGCAAGGTTGGTTGCCACAGGTTTGGTGTTGTATCAGCCTTGCCCTGTCTTGGATACCTTGTACCTACCGTACCGTGCCTCCTGCTCTCTCCCCGCCCCCCTCCTCACCATAGTTCCCTCTAAGCCATAGTAACCACTTCCTACTAAACACCGTGTGCAGAGTAGCTTGTCGTTGATGAGACACCTCTAGAGAAAATAATCTTCCCACCTGCAGTGCTCGCAAGAGAATACGCGGCATGGCACAGATAGCAACTGGAACAACCGCCCGTGCGAATCCTCCAATCCAAGCTTGGGGCATTAGTTGACGGAGAAGTTACAATGGGTTAGAGGTTGAGGATGGTTTTCAGAAGAGGAGGAGGGCACGATGAAAGAGCGCGAGCCGAAGGGGGGCAATCTCTGCATAGCATAAGCGCATCTCCTCAAAAGGCATGAACTTTGCTATGGATTAGGCTCATCCACATTGGCCGTAGTTCTGTGCACTACTCTGATTCAACTGCATGTACATAGCCATAGTGAGCTGCAAGGAAGCAACGTGAAAGATTTGAAGAGCCTTGCTTCTTCGGCTGCCAGCAAAACTCAGTTTTCCTACTCTCAAATGATGTTCTTCATGCAGACCCACAGCTCTATTGCCCTTGCGAAAGCTACCCATTTATGTCTCTTTGCATGCCGCAAAGCCAAAACCATTTGCCCCCCAAAATAATCTTGAATTTCTCGACCAATCGGACAGAACACCGTCCTGAATTTCGACTGTTCTTTGCTTAAGCCTGGCCCCAGCTGGCTTCCGTAGATAATCTCCCTACTCTAAACCCCCCTTTCCAATAAGAGGCAGGGGAATTGAGCAAAAACATGAGTGACAACTGTCGGCTAACACCAAGGTGCACGGAACAACATGCATGTGCGTGCGAAGCTTACGGCTGTACGTTGTGCAATTGGCCACGTCCCCGTAGTGTATTAGCTTCGGGCAAAAAGGGACCATGCACCTCGCAGCCCCGATTGTTTCATCATTCGATTCCTCTTTGCGTTCTTTTCTTGGACCGATTGATCTCTTGCAGAGAATTTGTGTTCTCTTTGCCCGAGTTCCGCCCCCAGCTAGAAGTCAAAAGGCACTGTCCGGGCTCTCTGATACTACTCCGAGCAAATTTTGGAAGTTGGCTTTACGATGGAGAGAAAGCCACTCGCTTCATAATGCAGGGTGTGCTTCCGCTGCAACCCGTACCTAAAAGGCTACAACTGGCTTCTCTTGTATCACCCCGATCCGTCAACAGCAATGGCGTACCGGTATCGCATCGGCGATTGGTTGCTGCTCGAGCAGGTGATATCAGGCCATGCTGGCGAAGCAATGGCGTACCGGTATCACAGCGGCAATTGGTTGCTGCTCGAGCAGGTGTTATCAGCGATGCTGGCGAAGAAGCAATTGCCAGGCGGCTGGGGGAGAGCCGAAATAGGGCCATTCATGATGCATGCAAGACACCCAGTAAGCAGTCCCTCTGCACGAGTGTCTCACCTATTCCTTTTCCTGAGCCTGGCGGGTTGCCAGCTTCGCTCAACTGCTTTACTACTATGGCTAGACCCTCCATTTACTATCATGGGGCCATAAAATCTCAAAGCTGCATTATATATTAGATCAAATTTTGTTGCAAACATAATGTGGCTCTGCAAGGTCATTAGCTGGATTGCTGTAATATGAATAACTTGCAGAATGCATAATGTAGCAAGCCTGGATTCGATAACTACTGCCTGTGTACTCCAAGCCAGTCCGCCAGTGGATGCGGGCACATGAGGGTGTGTCATAAAGGCTCACACAGGCATTGTAGCAATCTGTAATGGAAGCATATTGATTGTGGGCACCTATCTGACCAAAGTTAGATGGAGTTTGGTATTTGAGGCAACAAAACCCCGAGAAAAAGCCTGTCGAACATCCAGGAAAGTTGGAAACAGTAGGATGACTTGTAGGCGATTCCGATGGGCTGGTTGATGGTCTGGATGATGGCGACATAGAGGGCAGATTAGAAGGGCTGTTGCTTGGGCTTGTGGAAGGCACATCCGATGGACTGATGCTAGGAGTCAAGGATGGAATGTCTGAAGGACTGATACTAGGGCTCAAGGAAGGTCTACCTGATGGGCTAACAGATGGTATTTGTGATGGCCTTGTTGATGGCGACACAGAAGGGACTCCAGAAGGGCTAGAGCTTGGGTTTGTCGAAGGTAGGTCAGACGGACTGAGACTGGGGATTGAAGATGGGATGACTGAAGGGCTGATGCTCGGAACCATTGATGGTCTGCCTGATGGACTGA